GCAAAGGAACTGAAATTACCCCATGCATATTATCAGACTATAGTGCAATGAAATTGAAACTCAATGGCAAAAGAAAATACAAAAATGTGGAAATTGAACACCCTCCTGTATAGCCAATGGGTCATAGATGAAATTAAGAAATTAGACAATTTCTACAATTAAGTGATAATGCTGACATTCTGTACCAGAATTTATAAAACGAAAGTGGTCCTACAAGGTAAATTTATAGCAGTGAATTCCCATAGCAGAAAAAAAGCTAAAAAAAAAAAGCATCCCAAAACAAACACTGCCCCCACCAAACCAAACCAAACTGAAGTGAAACAAAAAACCCAGAACCCAGAATATGAATAATGAAAGACCAACATAATGGGCTCAGGGTTTAATTCAGCAGCATGAGAGCCTGCCTGACAAGTGAGAGGTCATGAGTTTGAGCTCCGGTACCCTCTCCAAAAAGCCAACCTAATGTGAAAACTCAAGTTTGGAGAAAAAAAATCAATTCAAACCAGAGAAGTATCCAACCAAAAAAGGATTTGACAGGCCAATTTCCTTAGTGAACATAGATGCAAAAATCTTCGAAATACTGGTAAACAGAACGCAACAAATCATCAAGATTATAAATCATGACCAAGTAGGAGTCATTCCAGGGATGGAAGGGTGGTTTAGCACATGCAAATCAGTAACTACACCACATTAACTGCACCAAAGACAGAAACCGCATGATCTTGTCAATAGGTATAGAAAAAGCTCTTGACAAAATCTAACACTCATTTATGATAAAAAAAAAAAAACTACAGAAAATTGGAATAGGTCTTTATCTCAGGTTACTAAAGCCGTCTTATGACAAAGCAAACCAACCACCAACACTATCCTAGATGGTCAACAATGGCTACGTTATTAAACTCAGTGGTAAATTTTTATTATCCCTTTGTTGTTCCTTGGTGGTTCTCATTCTCATTTCGGAATTTTGTAAGTAATACATAATTTTTGTATGTATTGTAAATGTATATTACAAGTATTTTTCAATTTAAGAGTATTGCAATTTTTATAAACATTCAAATTCAAAAGGCTTTATGGATAAAATCCAGAGTGCACAGGACTTATTGCAAAGAATCAACAAATGGGATCTCATCCTACTGAAAAGCTTTTGCACAGCAAGAGAAACCAACAGAGTGAAGAGACAACACATAACTTAGGAGAAAACGTTTGCCAGCTATTCCTCAGATAAAGGATTATTATTGAGAACATATGAAGAACTCAAAAAAATCAGTCCTTCCAGATTTAAAGACTCAATCCAAAAATGGGCATCTGAGATGAACACACACTTCTCAGATGAAGAAATACGAACAGCAAATAAATAAGTGAACAAAATTTCAACATTACTGATCATTTGAGAGATGCAAATTAAAACTACACTGAGGGGGGCTGGGGATTTAGCTCAGCGGCATAAGCGCCTGCCTTGCAAGCAGGCAGTCGTGAGTTCGATCCCCGGTACCGATAAAAAGGAAAAAGACAACAACAACAAAAAAAACTACACTGAGATTTCACCTCACCCCAGAAAAAATGGCTAGTATTAAGAAATCAATCAATAACAAATGCTGGAGGGGCCGTGGGGAAAAAGGAACCCTTCTCCATTGTTGGTGGGAATGCAGACTGGTGCAGCCACTGTGGAAATCAGTGTGGAGATTCCTCAAAAAACTAGGATTGGAGGTCACATTCGACCCAGCTATTCCCCTTCTGGGTATCTTCCCTGAAGAATTAAAAACATCATACCACAGCAATATATGTGCACTCATGTTTATAGCAGCACAGTTTGTAATAGCCAGATCTTGGAAACAACCTAAATTCCCCTCAACTGAGGAATGGAGGAAAAAAAAAAGTATTTTTATACAATGGAGTACTACTAGGCCATAAAGAAGAATAAACTGGACACTTTTATAGGTAAATGGATGCACCTTGAAAACATAATGGTAAAATAAATAAGACACACATGTGTAAACATTGTATTGTTTCATTAGTGTGAGAAGCTGGAAGAAAAAAACATATGTATATGTATATACAAATAGTAAGATAGTTACAGTACTGATTTCTCTGAGTTCGCTAAGTATTACTGGTATTGTTCAGATAACTGAGTGCAGATGTCTTATGCTCTGGGTGAATGATTTGGGGATGATAATGTGCAATGTATGTATCATTTTTCCCCCCTGATTGATGTGCTTTGACATTTTGTAGTGTTTTTTTTTTCTTGTTTTTTCCTTTCTTTTTATCTTTGAATAAGGTAGATTCGAGGGAAAAAAGAAAGCCAGAATTACAAGAGCAATCCTGATCAACAAAAGCAAAGCAGGATGTATCACAATCCAGATTGCAAGTTACACTGCAAAGCTACCATGATAAAAACAAAAAAAAAAAAAAAAAAAAAACCCACTGTACGGTGCTAGCACAACAACGGACACGCAGATCAATGGGAGAGGACGGAACAGAGGCGGCAAAGCGCGGGAGTGCTGCAGCAGGTGTTTGTAAGACGGCACGCCCTAAAGCATGCTACCATTGGAACCGAGGGTACAGAAACATCCCCAGACACATTCAGCTATTCCGTCTTCAACAAAGGGGCCAGAACAGCCTCTGCGACAAATGGTGCTCAGAAAGCTTTACAAAGATGGAATCTAGACTCCTATCTCTTGCCCTGCATCAAAAAAAATCAAAGTGGATCAAACACATAGTTATTAAAACAGAAAAACCAAATCCACTGGAAGATTAAATAGGTAAGACTCTTGAAGACATAGCTTTGGGAAAGGACTTTTCTTTTTTGCTTTTTGAGATAGGCTCTTGCTATGTAGTTCAGGATGGCCTGGACTCACAATGTAGTCCAGGCTAGCCTCAAACTCCAGCAATCTTCCTGCCTCAGCCTCCCAAATACTGGAATTACATGTGTGCACTACCACATCCAATGGGAAAGGACTTTTTAAACAAAACCCCAATTGTAAAAGAAACGGCATCAAAAAACAACAATATCAAGTTAAAATATATTGAATTTAAAAGTTTCTGAACAGCTAAGGGAACAGTAGAATGAAGAAACAATCTATAGAATAAGAAAAAAACTTTTGTAAGCTAGACTTTGGGCAGAGGACTAATATGTATTACACAGAACTCAAAAAATTAGACTCCACAAAATAAAAGACTAAAACAACTGTGCAACCAAAATGAACAGACACTTCTCAGAAGTACAAATGCTGGGTGCGGTGTACACCACGGTAATCGGTACTCGTGAGGCAGAGGCAAGAGAGCTGCTGTGAGTTTGATGTTAGTCTGGGCTACATGGTGAGCTCAGCACCAGCCTAAACTACATATCAAAACTCTGTCTCAAAAAAAAAAAAAAGTAGTACAAATGGCCAAATACGTGAAAAATACTCTGGTTGTAAGAGAAATGCAAATTAGAAAAACACTGAGATTCTACCTTACTCCAGAAAGAATGACTGTCTTGTCAGTAAGCAAATGAATCAAGCAAGCAAGCAAGCATGTGGTGCTGCAAGGAAAGACACTTTCTACACCACTGGTGGGAATGTCAACTGGTGCCACTATGGAAATCAGTACGGAGATCCCTAAAAAGCTAAAACAAACTTTCATTCAAGCCAGTTACTCCCCTTCTAGGTATCTCTCAGAGATCTCACATCATACTATAGTAATACATGCATACCCATGTTTATTGTAGGACAACTCATAACAGCTAAAGCCTGACAGTGGATATATACGCTCACCAACAGATAAATGGATAAAGAAAATATGGTATTTATATATAATGGAGTACTACTATGCTCTAAAGCTAAACTTGAGTCATTTGTAGGGAAATGGATGCATCTTGAGACTGTAATGTTAACTGGAATAAACTGAGCATACAAACTTAAATACTGCATGACTTCTCTTATATGAGAAGTATGAGAGTATAAATTGTCCCAAAACAGAGCTTAATAAAAGATAGTAAGAAACAGAGAAATAGATCTTTTGCAAAGAAGAGATCAATGTGGAGGGATAGAGAAAGGAAGGGAAGGAGGCAAGGAAATTTAAACAAGGAAAAATCCATCACCCAGTTATATCCCCAGGGGGGTAACAGGTGCTACCCCTGGAACTGAGTTAGGAAGGACTTTTTACTTCTTGCAAATACCAGGATACCTTTTCACCTTTCAAGTTGGACTACAGTAGCGTTCCACTGTTACCCACTCAATGGCTGCAGTATCTCACTGCTTCCAGTTTCTTTACTGATACAGTATTCATGATTTGAGTCTTACTCTTTATCTGTGACATCCTTGCCAGAAGTTTAAACGTTTTTATTGCCTCCGTAACCAGCTTTCATTTATTTTCTACTTATTAATTTTTGCTTTTCTTTCTTCTCCCCCTCCCTCTCACCCACTTAAAGCATTGTTGTCCACCAATGTGTCTTAGAAATCAAGAGAAGTGACACTTCTAGGGAGAACATGCTGTGGTTTTTATCTAGCCCACAAACAAAGCATGTTTTTCCCATTTGCAAGCACTTAACAAAATAATGTGTACCTGGTTAATTTATCTGAACTGTAAACCTCATAGGGGATTTTTGTTTTGTTTTGATTTTACAGTCTTGCTGTGTAGCCCAGGCTGGCTCAAACTCACACCAGCTAGGATTACAGGCATGTGCCACCACACCTGGCACTAACCTCATGTTTATATAACATGTCTTACTGGAGCAGAACCATATTCATTTAGGTATTTCTTGTGATTACACTAAGTAACTGGAAGAGATGCCATATAACTGAACACTAAAGCATTTGCTCCTTTTACTGCATAACTGTCCCAAATTCTGATTTAAATGATACACTTCAAATGAATGCATTACAGTACAGGATAATGCATTATAATTTATGGCCACTTATAAACTATGTGGTTTAACTGAACATAGTTAAGTCAAAAGGTCCTCTACCAATTCAAAATACTGTGTAGTGGGGACAAACAGGAGTTCCGTGCTGAATACATACCTAGTTTGTTTAGTGCAGTGGGCAGCTGTGAGGACCCACCTGTCTCTCACCAGGCTTCCTCCACACACATGAAAGAGGTTATGGTTGTTTTGAATCTGCAGGCTAACGAGCCACGGCCAGACCCCAGTTTGCGCTTCTCTGCCTCCTACAATCCGAGACCCTGTGTGTGCATCTCTAAGTGGTGCTGATCCGCAATCTAAAGATAAAAATGGAGTATTATTTGAACCGAGCATCTATATTACCATATTTGTTACTTCCTAATCGGAACACATTTAAATTCCTGTTTTAAAAACTGATGAGTCTCCGGGCATGGTAGTGCACGCCTGTAATCCCAGCACTCAGGGGATCGTTTCCAGTTCGAGACCAGCCTGGGCTACACAATGAGTTCAAGGCCAGCCTGAAACTACAATAGCAAGACTGTCTCAAAAAGTCAAAAACAAAACAAAAAAAAAACCCTGATGAGTCAAAACAGATACCTGAGTGATGCCTAGATTTTGAAAGAATCTTTAAGGAGAAATAACCATACCAGCGTCGATTATTTTCAAATAGACATCTGCACCATTTAAAAACTACTCCCAAAAGTATAAAAATACTGTAAGTTTCTGCGGCGAGGTTCATGTCCTGCCCTGTGTAAAACAGCAGTTAAGAGCCTGAAACTTGGGGGCTGCGTGGGCGGCGGCCGGGTGAGGTCTGGGGTTCGCGGCTTCAGCCCCAGCCCCAGCCCGAGGGGCTGGATGGGGCGGGCGCTGCGAGTGCGGTAGCCATGTAACTGCTCCGACCGGCCGTGAAAAGGTCCCTAAATGCCCTTTCGACTCGCCCAGGAATTATTAATCCGCACGATGCGAATGTAAACGCCGAACCAAGCAGCTCAGGCCTGCGACTCGGTGGCTGAGGCAGCGGGACAGGGCACAAGGAGGGAGCCCAGCGACCCCCGGGGGCCGGCGGAGGGAGGGGTGCGGGGACCGAACCCGCGGGTGAACAGGTACTGCCCTGCGTGGCCGGCCCTCGCGGCGGGGCCGGGGCCTGCTGCAGCCTGTGTGCCGCCTCTGCCCGAGGGAAGCCGCTGGCCCCTCTGGAGAGCGAGCGGTGCTGGGTGCACAGGAGCGCGCTCCCCAATAGGAACAGCGCGGGTCTCACCAGCCCCATGCCGGCTCCAGCGGACGGACGCAAGATGGCGGCGGGCGCGAGGGCCGGCGAGGTGCCCGGATGACGACGATACTGGCGCCCGCTCATGGCCGGCAGCGCATCGAGTGTGCTGCCCTCCCAACACCCGCTGCGATTTCCCTAATGGCAGCACCTCCCTGGGTCCGAGCGGCACAAAGGACAGAGAGACCGTGTGCAGGCCCCAGGACGTTGCAGCTCAGACCCGGAGCACCAGGGAGGCTCCCAAAAGCAGTGGCGTCCAAACCGCGGCCATGGCCAAGGCTGGGGAGGCAGCGCCCAGCCATGCAGGTGCAGAGATTGGGATTAGAGGCCGTCCAACCGCTGGGCAGCCCAGTGTTTGTGCTGCAGATCAATCTCTTAATGGCTTTCAATAGGATGCCTTGAGTACATCAACTCTGGATGAGTTGATAAAATCAGATTTAAGGAACTACCCTACAGAGTTGAGGGCTGAACCTGACCTTTGGTAACTGCACCCTGCCTCATCCGCATGCGTGCGTGTGTGTGTGTGTGTGTGTGTGTGTGTGTGTGTGTGTGTGTGTGTGTGTGTGTGTGTGTGTAGCCTGCTTCATGGCTGTGCCTCACACAATGACTAGCAATCTGTTACTGTGTAAAGGAAGCCAGGAAACAAGTAGGCAACCCCACAATAGAACAGTGAACCAGGCCTAACTCAAAAAGTCATCTGTGAAGATATCACTGTTGCAGGTGACAGAGAGCCCTTACTCAACCAAAACTGAGGTTACTGTGTCTTCTTCTAGGACAATCTGTGCCCTTTCTTGTAAAGCCTTGTTTGCTTGAGTTTCCCACCTCTGATATTTGATCAGGGACCTCAGGCCTACTCTCCTGAGGTGATGTTGTGATAACTCGGACCCCGGTATAAAATCCAAGAAAGCAAGAAATTAAAATTTGAGAAGCAAAGGCTTTATTAGGTAAAATCCAGGCCTGGTGACGAGTCTCCGGGAGCCAATTTGGAGACTGCGCACCTCACAGCTAAAAGTCAGGACTTTTTATCTTGTAAATCCACAAACAGCTGCTGGTCACACAATGTAAGGAGGGAGATGGGGGTGTGACGCACTACAAAGCAAAAACGGCAATTGCAAGTCTCCCTGCATACTAGCAAGTTTAGATAAGAAGAAATCTTGTTTTCCTTAGCAAAGAATAGAGAGGTCTAACAGCAATTAACAACCTTAGTTACCTACCACAACTGTTCTATTTGTAGTGGGCAACAATGGTTAACATATCAATTAGGTAAGATTTTACAATTCTTTACAGAGGAGAGCATTGATTAACATATCAATCCTTTGCCCAGAGGGAAAGGAAAACACACATTTACAGTAAGGCCAAGTTACAGGTATTACTGTGATACAAACGAAGATATTTTTGTGAAGAATGTACAATCTAATACAATCTAATGCAATTAGCACAATTTGTGACGGGCTACCGGGTAGGGAAGAGGAGCTATTACTTCAGGCCTTTGTTTTATGGCCTTCAGGAAGTTAAAACTTAACCTAGTTAAATTTGAAGGGAGAAGGGGAGGGGAAGCAGCAGGTGGGCTTATACCTTAGAACAGACCTTAGGATAGTTAGGGGGGCTTAGGTTATAACAATGTCTTCATCCAGAATCCTGTTAAGTGAGTTTAACTACAATCACTGTTATTTCTGATGTACTCTCTCAGTGGTATTTCCAACCACTGATCATCATCCTTCCTCGGCTATAAATTCTTAACTCTCGCATGATGTATTTGGAGTTGAGCCCGATCCCTCCTACTTCAAAATCTCATTCCCCTACTTCCTATATTTTTGACTTTTGTTTTAGAGGTGGAGGTGCTGGGGATCTAGTCCAGGCTTTCTGCAAGCTGGGCAAACTCACCACTCCTGAGCTACACCACCAGCCCTTCCTTTGCCTTTTTTCTTCCTCCCCTTCGAGATGGTACTGGGTATTAAACTCAGGGAGCACTGAACGATCTGTGGCCCCTTTTTGAGGCAGTCTTACTGAGTTGCCCAGATTGCTCTTGAACTTGTATTCTTCCTGTCTCAGGTTCTTGAGGAGTTGCAGGCATCCACCATCATACCTGGCTGTACATCTATATTAATGAATAATTTTCCTTGAAAATAACCCGGAATTTTTAAGAATGGTGCCTAATGTTTGGTTCACAATTATTTTTTTTCAGACAGTATCTCCCTATGTAGTTCCAGATGGTCTTGAATACACTATATTATCCAGGCTGTCCTCAAATTTGTGGTGATCCTTCTGCCTCACCCTCCCAAGTGCTGGGGTGACAGGTGTGTGCCACCGTATCTAGCTGATTTTGTCATTCTTAACTTGAATTAAGCTGACTTTTTCCCTGTTAACTCCAGGTATAAGGGAATGGTGGGCTGTCATAGTCCAGGAGGTTGGTCACATGGTGGGGAACAAGAGTAGCAATAAAAGGGTGTCCACCTTGCTCATGTCACTCTGAGCATGGTATGGTTGGCATTAAACAAAAGTATGATAAAAAAATTTTTAAAAAAGTATGTCAGCTGAGAACATGATGATGACATGAAGGAAAGAGTGAAGGCCCAGAATTGAGTGTCAACCAATGGTTGATATGTTGGTTACTTTTCTCTTGCTGCTGGAACAAAACACCTGACACCCAAAATGAAGGAAGGAAAGGTTTATTTAGCTTACAGTTTCTAGAAGTTTCAGCCCATAATCAGCTGGCTCCTAGGCAGGGTGGGGTGGCACAGGGGCAACTGTTCATGGCAGTGGAAAACCGCAAAAGCAAGGAGAGCAAAAAGAGAGGAGCATGAGAGGACTCCTTCTGCCCCTTAGAATGTATGTAGGCTACACCCACCACTCATCCATAAGCCCAGCAATGGACTATGAGTCACTCACAAATTCCAGGTCTGCCCCCATGACTGTACGAAGCTTTGTATGTCCTCTACCCAGACACAAAACGTAACTGTTGCTCTTAGAGGCTGAAAAACTTTACAAAATAATCCTGGAACGGGGAAAATGGCTGCAGTGTGTGTTCACCCTTAGGAGGAAGTACTGCTAGTCATTTCCCATGAGAGAGTGTTACTGAAAAGCAAGCCCAGAGAAGCCTTTGCCCTGAGTTACATCAATAGCCTTTGGAAATCTTTCATTTGGAGAGTTTCACTAAGTCACTAAGTTGCCTACAAAGGGCTTGAAATTGAGATTTTCCCTCCTCAGTCTCCTAAATTTTGGGAATACAGGACCTTCAGCTCTGGAATGTTGAGATTACTGGTGAGCACCATCATACTCATCAGCAGACTTTCTTTTTGACAGGCTCATTCTAAAATTTATATAGAAAGACAAAGGAACCAGAATACCAAAATAAGTTTGAAGAATTTTTTTTTAAAAAAAGCCAGCTTGAACTCATTGTATTTGATTTCAAGACTTGTTAACAAAGTTCAAGTCAGGTGTGGTGGTGGTGCACATTCCACACAGAAGTAGTGGTGTCATTCCAGCACAGAAGGTAGAACCAGAAGGATCACTGCAAATTTGAAGCTAGCTTGGGCTACATAGTGAGTCCACGGTCTGGACTGCATACTGTCTCAAAGATTAGTCAATTGGGGATGGTGGTGCACTCCTGTAATCCCAGAACTCAGGAAGGCAGGGAAGGATCACCATGAGTTTGAGGCGAGCCTGAGCGACATAGTGTGTTCAAGGCCAGACTGAATTACCAAAAGAGACCCTATTTCAAAGAGACAGAGACAGACAAGGAGATCCAGTAATCAAGGCAGTATCATTTTAGTGAAAGGATACACATAGATCAAGGAATGATATAAAACAATCCTTTGAAAATTTGTTAAGGCAGATTTTATTGACCAAATTGTTTCATAAACGCTTTGAAATTCATAGTCTCTGATATTAGTGTGCACCTTACTACAATGACACATCCTAGTTTACTTTGTGTGAGTTTTTTCATTCCTTTTCTTTCTTTTTTTTTTTTTTTTTTTTTGTCTTTTTCGTTTTTATCGGTACCAGGGATCAAACTCACAACTGCCTGCTTGCAAGGCAGGCGCTTATGCCGCTGAGCTAAATCCACAGCCCCCCATTCCTCTTCTTTCAGTAGTTAAGTATTGAACCCAGGGTGCACTAAGCTATATCCCAACCCTCTGCAGGCAAAAGATTCCCCAGTAACTAAAAATTCCTTTAAGTTTTCTTTGTTCTAATTGACTCATCTATAGAATGCTACATTAAGGGACCACTTACAAACTGCCAAAAAAAAAAAAAAAATACTGACTTACTCATACCTGTACTAGGTCAAGGATTAGCTTAGCACAAGTGCCTGCCTGGCAAATGTGAAGTTGGCTTTGATCCCCAGTATAAAACAAAACAAAACAAAACACTGAACTAAATATAAAAAAAAACTAGGTCCATACCAACTTGGGTTTTTTTTGTTTGGTTGGTTTGGTTTCTGGTTGGGGTTACTGGGGATCAAACTCATGACCTTGCACTTGCAGGCAGGTACTTATACCACTGAACTAAATCCCTAGTCCTCAGGTCTGTACCAAAGTTGTGTGGCTTCCCTGTTAGAGAAGGAAATGAGAGTAGGCAAAGGATTATAGCGACCTATATATTGGTGCATTTTTCTTTAGATTTGAAGATTACAAAATATTAACATTCTGGGTGGCAGGTATGCATAGATTTGATTAGCTCTATTTTTAAGTTGGTAAAACTGTGATTTTAAAAATGGAGAGTTGCCATCTAGTGGACATATTTAAATAGAACTTCTAAAATCTTGGCCAGGTGTGATGGCACCGCCTATAACCTTGGCACTTGGGAGGCTGAGGCAGGAGGGTCATTGAAAGTCTGAGACCAGCCCAGGCTACAAAGTGTGCTCAAGGTCAGCCTGAACTGTACGGCAAAGCCCTGTCCCAAAAGGACAAAATAAAGAAAATCTTGTATAGGATGTTTAAAATGGAGTAGAACAAAGCTTTTTAGATTCATTAACACCCAGGTAAGAAAGAAGATGCAGATACACTGATGGGTAAAACCACAAACTCAGGTACAGTGGTCCACACCTGTAATCCCACCAACTTGAGAGGTTGAGGCAGGAAGACTCAGTCTGGGCAGTGCTCCTGTCTCACCCAAGAGGAGTCTGGGCCAGTCTGAGCAACAGGGTGACACCCAGCATTAAAAGACAAAACCAAGCAAACAATTCACACACTTTGAGGCTGATCAGTGCAAGGTCTGAATGTTAGTTTATGGTATGAGTTTGGACAGTGTTGAAGCTCTGTGTAACAGTCTGAACTCCAACCTGCATTCCTTTAACAATTATGAAGCACTTTGTGAACCAGACTAGACTGGGATAGAAGACACAGCACCTTAGCGTTGTATGTTTGGGGAGGTTGTACTATTTTGTTGAGTGGTTAAGTTGCATTTCAATCTCAAATCCTTAGTCAGGAATGCTAGGAACCTTAGGTAACTACTAGTCACAAAGATAACATTAAGATCCAAATTCTGTAATCCCAGCACTCCATGAGGGTGAGGCAGGACTGCAAGTTCTTGCCTAATCCAGGCAATTTAGGGAGACCCTGTCTTAAAAATAAGAAGGGCTGGTAAGGCATAGTGGCACACGCCTGTAATCTCAGTACTTAGGAAGCCGAGGCAGGAGGATCACTGCAAGTTTGAGGCCAGCCTGGGCTACAAAATAAGTTTAGGCCATAGTGAACTGCATAGTGAGACCCTGTCTCAAAGATTAAAAAAATGCAAGTGGTTGTTGGAGACACAGTTCAGTGCAGAGTCCTGGTTTCCATCCCCAGTACATTCACATACACTGAACACACACTCTTAATGAGCTTTTCAGATTCTACCTCAATGGAGGTGTCCGTCTGTTTTTTAATTTAAAAAATATTGAAAACAAGGGTTATGATAGTAGATGATGCTGCAAGAGTAGCTTCTTTAGAGAAGGGCCTTGCTATGTAATTCAGGCTGGCCTCGAGGTCATGGCAATCCTCTTGCCTCACCCTCCTGAGTGCTGAGAGATGTGCACCACCAAGCCAAGCAGATCATGTAATTCTAAACCTAACAGGTATCTTAGAACCTCTCCTTTGTCCACATTAAGTGGAGAAAAATACAGGTTTAACCACATAACTTCAAGATAATTACTGAAAGATTAAACATTTTCAAAGCTCTAACAAGGTCCATCCTTCATACTGTCGTATAAAGGGCATCTTATTTTGTATATCCTAGATGTGTTCATGAGCAGTATTTGCTTTAGAATATATACAAACTGGTAACTTATTATGCAAAATAGGTGTTTGGTATGCACTTTGAAATCTAATTTCACATTTGGAATATAATCCAACATATATTCTTACTGAAAATTTGGTAAGCTCCACACCGATTTGAGGAAAATAACATGTGCATTTACAGAGGGAGCAGTGGGAGCCTGGCCTCATCACACAGCCGGCTCTGGCACTCAAGGCTCTGCACCAAGTCTGCAGTAAGCTGCTGGCACATCCCACCGGCTTGAAGCATCAGTGGTACCATCAGGTGGCATGGGACAGTCACACATGTATGACATGAACGTATTTATAGGACTCAGTAAGACTGGTCCTGCGGCCATGCCCAACACCCACCCAAGGTCCCATCTGTGAAAACCCCAGGACATAACCCTGGGGCCCTGCCCTAGTATTCTTCAGGCCTAACTGGCTGTGAGTTTAAGATTCTGACTTTACACAAGATGGATGCGTGATCAAATTTTTTCTTTTTCAAAAATTGCTGTCAAAGCAGGAGTCTCATTTTAAAAGACCCTTTTAATAAGCAATTTTACCAGGAAGATCAATAACAAATTTATCAGTTACCTAAATGCTTCTATGTAACAGGCTCCTAAATAATGTCCTAAACATTTGTAGAACAGAAATTTTAGCTTAGTTTATTATAACTGATTCTGACTGAATCAGAACAGAAAAGTATTCCCCTTTAAAACAGGCTGTGTACATCAGGATTGTAAATTTGTCCTCACTTTAAAACTAGAATGCTATTAATGTAATTAACAGAATGGCTGTCAGCAAACTTGTCAATATAGCACTAATATTTTATACTGTATTCAGCAAACTTTTAGCAAATGTTCTTTAATTTCATAGACAACAATATGAAATGTATTATATAAGAAGCACACAATAGTTTTGCAGTACAATTTAAAAGTGTATACAAATTAGAATACAGAGGTTAAACACTGGTGTACTGACAGCATTTTGAACTTTAGGTAAACTGCATATAAAATGTACAATTCAAATATTGGCTAATCTGAAAATTTCACTTCCCATAATATAAAAGTGATACTTTTGAGATGCAAAATCTTCACTTAACAAACTATATAAACATTTAAAATATTCATTAAAAACTCAACATTAGAATTTATAAAGATTAGCTATAAAAATATATTGGCAGTCACTTTTATTCTTATAAAGGTACCATTCACTTCATTACAAAATAGTCTCTAACATAAAGTTGTCTTAATAACTGTACTATTTTAGAACCTGATGAACTTTAAATTGATCATAAAATCTTGGAAAACCTTTGGTATGCAATCTTAAGGTTTTTTAAAAAGTATTTTAAGGGCCTGTAAACATTTCATTCTATTAAAACACAACAGGACAAGTAATGGATATTAAACTGCATATAGAATATAAAAATCAAAAAGCCAATTTATTATGTTTTTGTAAAAAAAAAAAATCACCCTTAGCAGAGTAAGCTAAAACCCAACTATTTAAAAGTTTCAAGCTTTTAAATAGTGCTCTTTTCATTTTGATTTTAAAAAAAAGTTACGAAATCACCACATTCCATTTGTGTACCTTAGATGCTTTTTAGGATAAGACCTCAAAAATAGTTAACCCAGTCTCAAAAAATCATCTGTAGTTCAACAAACTTTTAAAAGCCCATTTAGAAGATCTGACATTAAAACAAGTATACATAATCAAAACACATAATTTATATATTTCATAATGTATCAGCTTTTCTTTTAATTTGTAGTTTAGGATTTATTGGGAGAAACAACACACATACACACGCACACACCCCGTCAGACACACATACACCTAAAAATGTAAATTTCAGGAAACAGAAATGCAAACCTATAGGGGAAACTGATTTATTTTTAAAGTTTCTATCTACTGAATTTGGATTGATGACTTTTCTGCCATTTAGACTGATGACCAGTTAGAATGTTTAAACTGCTGAAAGTTCATTGCTTGCTTCTTCTGTTTAATTTTTACAAAGCTTCCAGTTGTGCCACTAGCTCCCTTGAGGTCACTTCCCACGGTATCCTGTCACCAAATCTCGTGGATAAGACATTTATCTTTGCATTGCAAAAGCCTATAAAGAAATTAGCTTCACTTTTGACCTTTTAATTTATAAAACTCCACTACAAAGAAATCCAACTAATCTTTTAGACAAGTCCACAAAAATACTCTTTTTAAAAAGAATTAAACACTTTTATGAGAATAAAGATCCTTCAAAGTTTTTAACTCTTCTATTAGAGTTTTATTTTGATTTTCCAGGACTGCAACTCGATTTTCCAGGCATTTCACATATTCTTTCTTCTTTCTGCGACATTCTCGAGCAGCTTCTCTAAACATTAAAACAAAACAAGAAACCCATGTTAGAAAAAATTTCACATTCTTTAAATAGTAAATGTACTTCAGTAATTTTCTGGTCATCTCCCTGACTCCTCTACCCCTACACATTTAAAAAAGTAAGAAACCATCTACATTCATTGAAATACACAGATCTTAAGAACAGGCTTTTTTTTTTGGTCTTTTTCCTTTTTATCGGTACTGGGGATCGAACTCACGACTTCCTGCTTGCAAGGCAGGCGCTTTTGCCGCTGAGCTAAATCTTCAGCCCCTTAAGAACAGGTTTTGACAAATGCATATTACCTGAATAATCCACACCCTATAGAAACAGCACTGTTTCATTGCCCCAGAAAGCTCTCTCATCCCCTTCCTGGTCAGTCTGCTCCAAGCAACTATTCTTTTGATTTTTACAATATAGAGAAGTTTTTCCTGTTTTTCTTTATCTACAACTGTCATTCTGTCTGTACTGCTGTATCCAGTCATCTTTTACCCAGCATTTTCTGAGGTTTATCCACAGTGCTGCATGGTGGTTTATTCCTTTATATTGTTGGGTATATTCCATTACATGGATATAACCACAACTGTTTACACTTGTTCTCTTGATCTGTTTCTAGAGTTAGCTACTATGCATATTCTTATTAAGCTTAACTTCTCTTGAATAAATATGAATGTGAAATTTATGAGTCCTCTGGTTAACTTTAGAACTATAGCAGTGCTTGAGCAAATAGTTCTGTGAATGACCTCTCAGGACATTTCTGTTAAGACACACATAAGCCGTACTTATTTTCATTTACAAAATATGTGTAAATATTCAGTTTTAATGGTGTTTCTATGTTAGTACACAGACCTCTGTTTTGAAAAGCACTACAGAAAATCTACAATATGAATATACTACAGTGTAATTTTTCCCTCCCAGACTTTGTCATGTGTGTCTCTTATGGAGTCAGAAGCTATGTTCACTTAAAATCAAGAGACAATGCCAAACTGGCTCCAGAATCTGAGTGTGCTTGCTTCCACAGCAAATCTGCTAAATGCAGAGCATCAGGCATCCAATGTACATGCCTGTCAGCAGAACGAAGGAGTACCTGCTTCTGTGACTCAAAACCTGTACCTTCTCGTTAAGTTATGCATGAAGTCTGGTATAATCTCATGTTTACAGGCCATTTGTATTTTTTCTTCTCTTATGCATCTTTTAAATTTACTTATAGAAGTATCTACAGCTCTTGTTTTCTTTTAGATACCAGGAATTAAACTCAGGACCTTGCCAGGCAGGTGCTTATGCTGCTGAACTATATCCCTGGGCCCTTCTACAATTCTTTATATGTTGCAAATATTCTTCCCAGTTAAGAGTGCTATTTTTTAGCCAGGCGTGGTGGCTCACGCCTGTAATCCCAGCACTTGGGAGGCTGAGGCAGGAGGATCATTGCAAGTTCAAGACCAGCCTGGGCTACAAAGTGAGTTCAAGGCCAGCCTGAACTGCATAGAGACCCTGTCTCAAAAAGACAAAACAAACAGACAAAAAAAGAGTGCTATTTTTAAGTTTGTTCCTGCTGTCTTTTGTTACACAGAACTAAAATGCTTAGGTATACTGTAAACTTCACATTTTTCCTTCCTGTGAAATGTCTTTTCCATTACATGCTCAATGGCTAATTTCACTTTTTGATTTTGGTGAGTCATTTCCATTAATTAATTTTGTGAACTACTAACAAGATTGACCATCTTTTCAAAAGCTTTTTTTTAAAGTAACAGGGCTAGGAATCAAATCCAGTGCTTAAGCAAACAGTTCTTTGCAAGGTCCTCTTAGGAAACTGCACATGCTAAGCAAGCTTCTTCGTCTTTTTGATCTCTTCATCTATAAACTTTCCATGTATCTGGCCCATTTTTCAGTTTTCTCACCATTACTAAGATCATCCGTGATATTTTTGTATCTTGTCCCCTTACACTTGTTTTCCTTGAGCATTCACTATATTCATTCTCATTGTTTCTGTCTTTCTCCCCTCCCCTTTGCCCAGTGTTGCTGATTAAACCCAGGGACAAGCTGACACTGAACTATCCCCAGGTCTTTTTAAAAGTTGTTTGAGTCAGGGTCTCACTAAATTGCCCAGTCTGGCCTCTTTTTGTGTGTGTGTGTGTGTTTTTCGTTTTTACCGGTACCAGGGATCGAACTCACGACTGCCTGCTTGCAAGGTGCTTATGCCGCCGAGTTAAATCCCCAGCCTCCAAGTCTGGCCTCTTGAGTAGCTGGGATTACAGGTGTACATCTTTAATCCTAGTTTGTAGCTCTCTTTAAATTTTAAACTTTTTTATTGTTTCCTTTTCATAAGATCTTCAAATCCACCCCAAATTACATTTGTACATGGCATAAAACAAGGGTGCAACTTAATACTCTTCTAGATATGGAGCTGCTTGCTGGCACCCACTGTTAAATAAGTAATTCTATACAAGTGTACTTGACTAGCACAGGAAGCTTATTTCTGGATTCACTGTCCAGTTTGCTAATGTAACTGTCCATCCTTTTGTTGACACCAAGATACTGCCAATTACACTGGCTTAAAGTACATTTCATTCAGTACCCAATGAGATACTTATTCTTCTTTCTACTCTTCACAGAGTGGAAATACCTGGAAATTTTTCCCATGGGAACTTTCAGCTTATTTTGTCTAATTCCCTGACAATTTATAGATTTTAATTTGAAAGTACATTAAATTTATGTGAAATCTGGGGCTGGGGATTTAGCTCAGTGGCATAAGTGCCTTCCTTGCAAGCGTGTGGTCGTGAGTTCAATCCCTGGTACCGGTAAAAATACAAAAAAAAAAATTTATGTGAAATCTGAAAGAATTGATTATATTAACTACCTCCATCTAAGAACACAGTATATATTCTATTTGCTTAGACACTAAGTTCTCAAAATGGTTTTTAAATATGCATCCTATGGCTTTCCTATTAAATGCACTGTCTCTTTGTTATTAATATAAATGTAACATTACTTTCATTACTTTTTCTTACTTCCCATTTTTTTTTCTGGTACCAGGGATCAAACTCACACGCACTTGCAAGGCAGGTGCTTATGCCGCTAAGCTAAATCCCGAGAGGCCCCCCACCCCATTATTTTTAAGTTATGATTGTAGGAAAATGTGGTTGATTTTGCTTATCAACTTGACTGAGTTAGTTGGTAAAAGATTACTGTGTGAATTTCCAGAGGGATTAGTGTATGTGCATGCATGAACACAGTGCAGTGCTGTGACTCAAACCCAAGGCCTTACAAAGGGCTCCACCACTGAGCTACCTCCTCAGCCCATGCCCAGACTGGAGTCCTCACAGTTCTTTCTCTGATCTTTGCATTCTGGGACTTAAATTGCTCTCCATGACCTTTTCCTCTACTGCCTATCTCTGCCTCTTCCTATTAAGCCTTTGGCCTTGGACTGAATCACATCACTGGCTTTCCTGGGTTTTCAGATGGAAATTCTCAGCCTCCATCCTCTTGTGAGCCAATTGCTGCAGTAAATCTCCTCATCTCCTCCTCCTGCCTTCTCCCTCCCTATATATAATCCTACTACTGGTTTGGTTTCTCTAAAGAATGCTAATACAACACCTTGCTAAATTTCCCTAAAGTGACTTTCTTTTTGTGTTTTTATTATAAAACAGTGTATACACAAAAAAGTGCACGTAGTGTAGATGTAAGTGATGAAAGCATAAGATGAACGTGTGCAGACCCAACTTCACCGCTCTGTTGAACAGCCCTCTGTACCACTTCCTCATTACACACCCTTGCTTCTTACAGTGATTATTAGCTTCAATTCCTTTCTTACTTTTATGTCTCCAGTACATGTTTGCATCATGAATTATTTTTTACTATATTTTTTAAAATTATAAAATACTACATGTATTAGAACTTGCTTTATTCAGTCAACTTTGTTTTTCCAAGATCTAGTCACGCCGTCAGTGGTTGTAAATGTACACTATTATATTATGTAAATATAGCCACAATTTATGTGTTCGTTTTTGGGTGCTTTTTTGTTGCTTTGTTTGATTTGGTTTTGTTTTTTGAGACAGGGTCTCACTATGTAGCCCATGCTGGCCTCAAATTCAGTGATCCTCCTGCCTCAGCCTCCCCAATGCTATAATTACATGCATGAGCCACCATACCCAGCCTGTATTCATTTTGTTTTCAATGGATTAGATTGTTTACTGACTTTTGCTGCTAAAAATATTCTTATACACACTTCCTACAAAAGCCTCTTGGTCATCTACTCAGAGCAAGTGAAGATCACAGAGCATATTCTGGGTAACGGTGCAAGGTAAGCCCTCATTTCCTGTGGCTGCACCAAATTCCCCTCTCGTAGCAGTAGATGACTTCCAATAGTCCAAATTCTTACCAACAACTCTGGTCAGAATTAATTTCTTTAACTAATTCGCTGGGTATAAACAGTATCTGAATGTTTGATATTAATTTGTATTTCCTGATTACTAGTAAGGGTGAGTGAGCATTCTTTCCTGTGATTACTAACTGCACTTCATGTTCTAAGAATTGCCTATTTACACCTTTTAACGAATTTTTTTCCTCTTAGGATGTATTTTTATATTTTTTCAAATAAATCTTGGTTAGATAATTTTCAAGAAATATAAACTATTCATTTCAATGAAGTCCTATTTATAAATCTTTTACATTGATGTTTTTAGGTGCATTGTGCTGTTTGGGAAGTCCTGGGCCTAGAAGATTATGTTTCTACCTAAAAATTTTAAAATCTCATCTTTCAGCTGGGCATAGCAGGCAATGTAATGAGACCCTGTCTCAAAAAATAAAATTTTATCTTTCACATTTAAGTTTTTCATAATGTAAAGGAAATCAAATTTTTCACATATGACACCAAGTATCCTGACACCATCTGTTGAAGAGTTCCAGTAATCCGTCTAATCTGTCATTATCTGTGTTTCATGTTCCTTGATCTGTTTCTGGATTATATCACTGATCACACTGTATATCTCAGGGCCACT